TTTCTTGTCTTGTTTTAGGAGCTTTTCATTATCTTGTTTATTTGCAATATTGGGTATTGCAAATGCTCACACATGCTAGGCAAGTGCTCTGTAGCTGAGCTACATCCGCAGCCTTGAAATGCATATTATTAAGTGAAGGAAGACTGTCTGAGAAGACAACATACTTTTTGATTCCAACTGTAGAACATTTTGGGAAAGGCAAAACTATTGTGAACATTACAGAGATCAATGGGCGGGAGAAGAGCTCAGTAATAGAGCATTTACCTCGCATGCATGGGTTTCATCCCCAGTACCAAAGAATTAGCAGTTGCCAGAGGGTAGTGAGAATGGACAGGTGGAACACTGAGGGTTTTTAGGGCAGTGAAACTGCTCTGTAGGATACCATAATGGTAAACTCATGTTATTAAACTGGGCACACCTGTAATCCCAGCAGTTTGAGAAGCTGAGGCAGGAGGATTGTGAGTTCAAAGCCAGTCTCTGCAACTTAACAAGGCCTAAGCAATTCAGTGAGACCCTATCTCTAAATAAAATATAGAAAAGTGCTGTGGATGTGGCTCAGTGGTTAAATGCCCCTGGGTTCAATCCCTGGTACCAAAAATAAAGAAAGAAATGTATGCAAACCTATTGGATGTACACCACCAAAAGGGAATTGTAATGTACATCTGGGACTCTGAGTAATAATATTGTATCCATGTATCTTCACCAGTTATAACAAATGTAACCCTTTGCCTCAGGGTGTTAGTAGTAGGGGAGGCCGTGGGTGGGTGGGTAGGTGGGAACAGGAAGTACTGGGAACTCTCTGTACTTTCCCTTCAATTTTGCTACAAGCATAAAACTGTTCTTAAAAATATTGATTTGTGCCAGGTCCGGTGGTGTACTCCTATATTCCCAGCTGCCCAGGAGGCTGAGACAGGAGGATTGCAAGTTCAAAGCCAGCCTCAGCAACAATGAGGCACTAAGCAACTCAGTGAGACCCTGTCTCTAAATAAAATACAAAATAGGACTGGGGATATGGCTCAGTGTCAAGTGCCCTTGAGTTCAAACCCCAGTACCCCCCCCAAAAAAATACACACACAGTCTCAAAAAAAATAAAAAGGGAACCAGGCATGGTGGCACATGCCTATAATTCCAGCAATTTGGAATGATGAGGAAGGAGAATCTCAAGTTCAAAGCCAGCTTCAGCAATTTAGTAAGGCCCAAAACAACTAGGCAAGATCCTTTCTCAAAATAAAAAATAAAAAAACCTGGGGGATATAGCTCAGTGTCTGAGCACCCCTAGGTTCAATCCCTAGTACCAAAAAAGAAAAAAATGTCTCCTTGTCACAGTGGTCCCCCACCTAGCACTATGGGCTGCTCAAAATGTATGTTGGGTCAGGTGCAATGGCACATATCTACAATGGCAGACTTAGAAGACTGAGGCAGGAGGATCCCAAGCTCAAGGCCAGCCTGGGCTACTTAGTAAGATCCTATATCAAAACAAGCTCAGGTTGTGGCTCAGTGGTAGAGCGTTTGCCTAGCATATGTGAGACACAGGGTTTGATTGTCAGCACCGCATATAAACAAGTAAATAAATAAAGGTCCATTAATAACTAATAAAAATTATATTTTTTTAAAAAATGTAAACTGGGTGTGGTGGCATACACCTGCAATTCCAGCAGCTTAGAGGCTGAAGAAGATCTCAAGTTGAGGCTAGAAGATCACAAGTTTGAGGCCAGCCTCAGTAATTTAGCAAGGCTAAGTTGGCAAAGCAACTCTGGTTCAATCCCCAGTACCGGGGAAAAAAAATTAAAAGTTTACTATATAATAATACGGATGAGGGCTGGGGATATAGCTCAGTTAGTAAAGTGCTTGCCTTACATGCACAAGGCCCTGGGTTCAGTCCCCAGCACCAAAAAAAAAAAAAAAAAAAAAAAAAAACGTTGTGTTGGATGAAAAATGATTGCATGGGCTGGGCACGATGGTGCAGGCCTATAATCTCAGTGAGGCTGGGGAGGCTAAGGCAGGAGCATCGCAAATTCAAAACCAGCCTCAGCCATGGCGAGGAGTTTAGCAACTCAGTGAGACAGTCTCTAAATAAAATACAAAATAAGGCTGGGGTTGTGGCTCAGTGGCTGATGCCCATGAGTTCAATCCCTGGTACAAAAAAAAAAAAAAAAAGGTTGCACATCCGATAAATGACATTCATTTAAAATGAAAGAAAAATGACTGCATGGACAAAGGACCACCAGTCGGTGGTGGTGTGAGCTCAAAATGATCCTAGCTTATGTTTCTTGGTGACTCCAGCCAAACAAGATATACTTTCCTCTGTGCCTTTACCACTGAGGGTCCAGGGTGGCCACCCATCAGTGCTGCTCCATTGCCTGCCCCTCTCCTGGTGCAATGCAGGCAAACTCCTCCACCAGAGTGTGTTCAGATCCTGCCACTGCCACCTCAGAATGTCCTACCCTCCAAACCTGTTTCCCAGAGGGAAGATAGCCAACCTGCAACAGCAGTATGACCAGGAGTAAGCTCCCTCCATCCACCCCATTGGGCTCCCTCCTTTAAGAAGTGTCGAGAGGGGGATGACCCAAAATCCTGGATCCGTTCGTGCGTGTGCTGGGATTCTCCTCTTCTGAACAGTCTGTGGGGGTGCAGCTCTGTAGAAGCAGGGATGCCTCGCGGAGGAGGGACCTTCTGGTGAGGTGAGATTCAGCTCATAGAAAGGTGAACTTCTGGGGGAGCCTGCTACCCGATCAGTGGGAAGCCTCCCTTCCCAGCTGTGGAGTCAGCCAAGGCAGAGCTAAGCTGAACAGTGGGTGGAGCTTCCACATTTCTGGAAAACAAAGAATTAAGGGTGGGAACCTTGGCTCATCAGGCCCATTGACCTGACCAGGAAGGCAGAGTAGGGTGGGCACTGAGGGGGTCTCGGAAGCATTAGGGTCAAAGACAAACCTATGAGACTCCAGGCTTCTCACTTTCAAACTGCAAAACCTGAGGTCAGCCACCGGTCTTCTCAAAGCCTCAGGCTCCTAACCTGTGAAGTGCGTGCAGAGAGGAAGTGGGAGGCAAAATGGCATTCCTTCACTCTGAACCCTGTGGATGAGGTTGCTGATGACACTGGGTTTTCCAGCCTCAGATAGCCATCCTGGCTGCTTGTCCCAGAAAGGAAGGGTTGGGCCAGAGGATTCTCAAAGCCCAAAGTGTCTTGTGTCTGGGTTGCACTTCCGGTGCCTTTAAAGGCAAAAACTGTTGGAGCGCCACTTTCCATAGCCCTGCCTACTGCTAGTGAGGTGCCCATTTCTCAATGGGGGCCTTGAATAGTGATGGTTCTTTCCCAAGGCTGCACAGGTAAGACAACCCAGGACCCATTCTGCCCTGGGGGCTGTCTAGTCTCTAGACCTCAGTCCACAATCAAGTCATGCCTATAACAGCAATGATACCACCCAGGTGCCTCTCTGGCCTGAGTCCACCTTAAGGATCCTTCCCCCAGGAAGCCTGGGAGGCGCCTCCCCATCTCAGAAGGCCCAGTTCTATGGTCCTTTGTTACCTTATTATCCAAAAAAGGCAAAATGGTTGCTTTTAAAAAATGTTTTTTCCATGAGGTGAGCTAGGGAGGCTGAGACAGGAGGATCAAAAGTTCAAGACCAGGGACTGGGGTTGGAGTGCTTGCCTACTACGTGCGAGGCCCTGGGTTCAATCCTCAGCACCACATATAAATAAACAAAATAAAGGTATGGTGTACAACTAAAAAAATACACATTAAAAAAAAAAAAGATCAAGACCAACCTCAGCAATGTAGCAGGAAAAAAAAAAGGGCTGGGGATGTACCATGTCAAGTGCCCCTGGGTTAAATCTCCAGTACCAAAAACTGAGCTTTATTGAGGTATAATTTGTTCTGATGCATGTCTATACCTTGAAATCACATTTGACATGCTATATTTTTATCAGAGCCTGTGCTCTTCTCATTATCACAGCTTGTAATTATGAACTCATTTCTTTATTCCTGTTGATGGTTCCTAATGAGGGCAGAGGACATTTGTTTTCCAGTATACCCCCAGATCTGGGACAAGAGTTTGATTATCAGTTTGTGAATGGATGGATGGGTGGGGTACTTGTTCTGATTGACAGTTCCTCCAAGGCCAGCTTATTTTGGCAACCTCAGTCCAGCATAGTCGGAAGCCAATAAATGTTAATGGTCCCAAGATGTAACTTCCTTGCAAACTCACCACCTCAACGAGCTGACCCAAGAGAGCCCTATCTCCCTAAATCCTTCTGTGGGCCTCCAAGACTGCTCAGGCTGAGGCTACTTTTACCAGCGGAAGCTGCACTGTAAAGTGACAGGCAACTCCACTCCCTTTCCTTGCTGTCAATGAGCTTTATAAGGGGAGCAGCAGCAGTACTAAGTTGGAGGCCGGCCTGCAGCTCCAGGTGATCCCCATCCTCTACACCTGGGCCCTAGAGGATGAGCCTTGGACTGTTATAGGCAGATATCCTCCATCCATTCCTGAATCCTAGACCTCAGTTCAGTTCCCTACACCATCAGGCTTTCTCTGCTGTGCCCACCAAAATCTGCAGATAGCTTAAGCCAAAGCACCATACTGCAGGTAGCTGGTGCAGAACTGGATGGGACCAAGTCAGTCATCAGGACAGGACTCTTCCAAGAAACTGGTGAGGGTGGTGAAGGGATGTAGCCCAGAAGCCCTCCTTGTCCCACTCCATATTACAAGACTTGAGCCTCCACCAGGTAAATCAATCCATCACCAGGTATAGCAGGCACTAAGCTGTCACTCCACCATCCCAGCTAAGTGGAGAATAGCTCCATACCCTTTCAGAAGCATCTCAAAACCCAGGATAACCTGGCATAGTGGGGAAGGCCAGGCCAGAGATTTTTGTTCTAGCAGGACAACCTCAATCCCCAACCTCATGCAAGGATGGCTACTTTCACCCCAAATACCAACCCACCTTCCTGAGCACCCTCACCGGCCCACACACCCAACAATACCACAAAGCCACATTAACACTTCATCTTTAAGGTGTGCACTTTTATTGAACTGGTCTCAAGTCAGTGTACAGGTAAGCCCTGGCTGCCTCCACACCTTAGCCCACTCCCAGGGAGACCAAAAGCCTTCATACATCTCAAGTTGGGGGACAAAAAGGGGGGCCACGATGGCTGACCATTCAAAATAAAACAAAATAAAAAAGTATTAAGGCGAAGATTAAAAAAATTTGCATTACATAATTTACACAAAAGCAATGCTGTCACCTCCCCTGTATGGACTCGGGTGAGGACTGGGCCATCCTCCAGGAGGAGTGGGGCGGCTTTTGGGAGGGCGAGGGACTTCCTGTAACAATGCATCTCACTATATTTGGAATGACTATTAAAAAAAAGAACAATGTACAATCAAAGTCCTCGGCCATATTGTAGAACTTTGGGGATGCTCGCTCCAACCGACTGCTGTCACCTTCACCGTTCCAGTTTTTAAATCCTGAGTCAAAAGCGCCAAAACAAAAAACAAAAACAAAAAGGAAAAAAAAAACAAATAAAGCCATGCCAATCTCATCTCGTTTTCTGCGCAAAGTTAGGTTTTGTCAAGAAAGGGTGTAACGCAGCTAAGTAACAGTCCGCCTAGAAGCATTTACGGTGGACAATGGAGGGGCCAGATTCGTCGTACTCCTGCTTGCTGATCCACATCTGCTGGAAGGTGGACAGAGAGGCCAGGATGGAGCCGCCAATCCACACAGAGTACTTGCGCTCAGGGGGAGCGATGATCTGCAGAGGGAAGGACAGTCATTGAGGATCCTGGATGTCACAGCACTCCTACCTCCTGGAGTCTAATCTGACAGGACCAGACCAGCTCAGGCTGGGCAGACACTCACCTTGATCTTCATTGTGCTGGGTGCCAGGGCTGTGATCTCCTTCTGCATCCTGTCAGCAATGCCTGGGTACATGGTGGTGCCACCAGACAGCACTGTGTTGGCATAGAGGTCCTTGCGAATGTCAACGTCACACTTCATGATGGAATTGAAAGTAGTTTCATGGATGCCACAGGATTCCATGCCTAAAGGGAAATGACATCAGACTTCCAGTGTGCCCCAAGTGTGACCCTTGTGTAGGGAAGGGATCATAGGAGTGGACTGTCAACTCACCCAGGAAAGAAGGCTGGAAGAGTGCCTCAGGGCAGCGGAATCGCTCATTGCCAATGGTGATCACCTGACCATCAGGCAGCTCGTAGCTCTTCTCCAGGGAGGAGCTAGAGGCTGCAGTGGCCATCTCCTGCTCGAAGTCCAGGGCAACGTAGCACAGCTTCTCCTTGATGTCACGCACGATTTCCCGCTCGGCTGTGGTGGTGAAGCTGTAGCCACGCTCAGTCAGGATCTTCATGAGGTAGTCTGTCAGGTCCCGGCCAGCCAGGTCCAGACGCAGGATGGCGTGGGGAAGGGCATACCCCTCGTAGATGGGCACTGTGTGGGTGACCCCATCACCGGAGTCCATCACAATGCCAGTGGTACGGCCAGAGGCATACAGGGACAGCACAGCCTGGATGGCCACATACATGGCTGGGGTGTTGAAGGTCTCAAACATGATCTGCAAGGAGAGAGAGGACTCGTCATACTCAGGAAGCCATCTGGGGCACTTAAGCCAGACTGGGGACATGCAGAGAGTGCAAGAACACAGCTACATGTGTGTGCTGGGTGGGGGTCTCAGGAAGGGGATTCTGTTCAGACCTACTGTGCACCTATTGAGTACACACTCCAAGGCCACTTTACATCAGCCTCATTGGCTTTGTCACACAAGCCAGTGTTAGTACCTACACCCACACTATTTTTTGAACACCTAGTCAGAAAGGCAAACACAAGAGAAAGTTCTCATCTGGAAAAAAGCAAATAGAACCTGCCAAAGTTCCAAAGGAGACTCAGGTCAGAGAAGAAAAGTCCTATGGAGAATGGCAGAAGAAAGAACAAGTGAGAAAAGGCGTGGCACAGAAGGGCAAGGGAAGATGGTTGGAAGTGACCCTGGGGAGGTAGTCACCAACTGACCTGGGTCATCTTCTCACGGTTGGCCTTGGGGTTCAGGGGAGCCTCGGTCAGCAGCACAGGGTGCTCCTCAGGAGCCACACGCAGCTCGTTGTAGAAGGTGTGGTGCCAAATCTTCTCCATGTCGTCCCAGTTGGTGACGATGCCATGCTCAATGGGGTACTTCAGGGTCAGAATGCCTCTCTTGCTCTGGGCCTCGTCACCCACATAGGAATCCTTCTGACCCATGCCCACCATCACACCCTGTGGAGGAATAAGCAGGTATACTCAGCACGGATGCAGCCCCCAGGACCCCACCCCAGAGAGCCTTTAGTTCCCAGCCTCGGAGGGGACATGAAGGCTGGCCGCCCTACCTGGTGCCGCGGGCGCCCCACGATGGAGGGGAAGACGGCCCGGGGAGCATCGTCGCCCGCGAAGCCGGCCTTGCACATGCCGGAGCCGTTGTCAACGACGAGCGCAGCGATATCGTCATCCATGGCGAGCTGCTGGCAAAGCGGCACAGTGACCGGGGGTCGCGGGCGCCCCGCCCTGCCCACTTCCGGCGAGCACAACCTCGGGCCGCCAGGGGGCGCCAGTGCGCGCCCAGCGCAGGGACAAAGGAAGCCGGGCCGGCCGCGTTATTACCATAAAAGGCAAACGCTGGTCGGAGGCGGCCCCACGGCGCGCGGCAGGAAGCCAGGCCCCCGCCCCCTCCCCACCCGGCGCCGGCCCCGCCTCCGCCCGTTCAAACAGCGCCCGGCGAACGGGCGCGCGCGCGCGCGCTGCAGCCACACCCGACGGCGCGGCAGGAAGCATGCGCAGGCGCCCCGGCAACCCCACCCCTTCCGGCTCGCAGCCCCGCCCCTAGCCTAGCCCAGGACGCGGCACCCTGGGCCCCAGCGCGCACGCGCAATTGCGCCCTTATCCCCGGCGCGCGCAGCAAAAGCGTCCCGGATCCTAGCGCGCACGCGCAGGAGCTCCCCAGCCCCCACCCGGCCCAGCCGGCTCTGCCGAATGAGCGCCCGGCACGGACAAAGACGTGCTCGCTACCCCGGCTGCACTATGTAGCGTGTCCTCGAACCCAGCCCTGCAACCCTTGGGCTTAGAGGGTTGCATCCCACCACCCACCAGCCAAGTGGCTTCCCAAGCGCCCACACCGCAGCCGCGGCTCTCCCAAGTGTCCACGCCGCGGCCCAGCGGCTCCCAAGTATCCATACCACGGCTCAAGGACTCCCCAGATCACACCACAACCCTAGTGGCTCTCTGAGCAACCAGAGTGGCCCAGTGGCTCCTTAAGTGCCCACACTGCGTCCCAGGTGGCTCCCTAAACATCTACACTGCGGCCTGCGGCTCTGCAGCGGCGACGTGGCCGCAGCCACCTTGGGCCCGGCCATAGGGGCCTCAGGGCCCGTCGGGGGACGATCTGCACGACGCCTGAGCCTTACCTGGGTGGCGGGTGTGGACTGGCGGCGGTGGAGCGGCGAGGAGACTGTACTCGCAGGATGGACGCGGTCTCGGCAGTGGCTGCGCGTCGCGCCGCCGGGTTTTATAGGGCGCCACCGCGGCCGCTCGAGCCATAAAAGGCAACTTTCGGAACGGCGGGCGCTGATTGGCCGCGCGCCGCTCACTCACCGGCCTCGCCGCACAGTGCAGCATTTTTTCACCCCCTCTCCCCTCCTTTTGCAAAAAAAAAAAAAAAAAGAGAGAGAGAGAGAGCTAGCGAGCGAGAGAGAGAGCGCTTGATTGAGGAAGAGGATGAAGAGTTTTGGCGTTAGCCGCCCTTGGGTGCTGGGCCCTTGGGCCTGGCGTGCGCCCGTGGCCCACGCCCCACTGGATAGTGCCCGGTCCAAGCCCACGAGGCCTGGACCAGGCCTGGGCCCAGCCTGCGCGTCTCTTGTTCCCCCATCCACCCCGCGACCCACTGGGTGTGGATGTCACATGGGTAATTGCACCCAAAAGGGCGAGGGTCCGCACAGATGCCTGAGCGCCTGGCTGCCATAGGTTCTGGCGTAAGGAGCTTGTGGGACCCGGGGAGGTCAGGAGTCACTCCCTTGCCAGCAGCACCACCGTGGTCCAGAAAGCTTGGACCAGTGTGGGGAGGTCAGTTTGCCAAGTGTGTGGCAGGGTTCCTGCTCAGACCTGGAGGGACAGAGGAGGAGACAGAGGGTTTGGGCGACTGCGGAGTCTCAGGGCCACACTCTAGGGGACAGGATGGGCTCCAGGCTCCCGATAGTTGGAGGTGGCCTGTGAAGAAAGCTCCAAACCGCCCCTGCCACAGGCCTAGGAAGAGAGTGTGCTCCACAGAGTAAAGAAACTTAGGAAACCATACTGTGTGCGAGGCTGTGAGTTCACACCCAGCCAAGGCCAAGTCTGGGCCGTTAGCTAGTGAGTGGCCCAGGCACTGCTGGGCGGTGGCCCACCATCCGTTGTCTGTCTGTCATGTTTAGCCACAGCTGAAACGTCCTCCTGGACCATCTGGAGGCTGTGGGGAGAAAAGATGTGCCAGAGAAGAGTTGGGGGTGGGCCCCGGAGCTTGAGACGGCCAGAAAAGACCCTCTCCTTGTCACCGTTTCTCTCGCTGGGTCTGTTCACTGCACATCAGGCAAGAAGTGGGTGCAAAGGAGTATTCCAGAAGCTGCCCACCTGGCAGGGGGAGCCAAAGCCACCCAGGGATCAAGGGCCCTGCCATCCCAGAGGGGTATCTGACTCAACTTAGAGGACCTGGTACCTCTTGGGTGCTGGTGAGGAGAACCTACATTTTCACATAAAGAAACCTGGGAAGGATGGTGCAGACAGGAGCAGGGAAGGCCTGCTTAGAGCCTTGCCGCACATAGTAGGTGCTCATTGAGTTTGTGTGTGGAAACCAGGGACGGATAAGTCCATATATGGATGAGGAACCTGGGGTCTGGGAAGAGGAGACTTGAGCCAGCTCCTGGTAGGAGGCTAGTAGCAAGGCACTTTGCAGGTTGCAGCAGCCACAGCGAGGGTGGGGAGGGGGACCACCACCCAGCACCCAGTGGAGGCCGAAGCTCCTAGCTAGCATTCCCACAGAGCTGCCAGACACTTGACAAAACTCTCCCCCACCCCAAGTCACCCGCCCTGGGCCTGAGTGAACTTTCCCATCCTTTCCACTCCCTGCCTTCAGGGGACGGGACGGGACTGCCCTGTCCCTGGCCTTGTATCTCTCCAGTCTTGGGCACCTCGCCAGCTGCCCCAGGACCGCCAACCTTGCAATTCACCCGTGGGTGGGGTGGGGTGAGTGTGGCCCTCTTTGCTGCCTGTTGGTGAGGGATGCCTCAGGCTGTTCACGCACCCTGGTGGGGTGCAGGGGGAGGATTCCAGCCACCAGTGTCCCAGGAGGAGGTGGGAGGCTCTCGGGAGGCTCCAGGCAGCCACACCGGGTCAAAGCAGACCTGATCACCAAGAAGGACCTGCACTGCCACTTTACCTCCTCTCAACCAGGGGCCAGCCAAGGGGCAGGAGCTCCAGCCTCACCCGCCCTCAGATTGGAACAGTTCTAGCCCATCCTACCGCCTGGTAGTGCCTTCTTATGTGTAGCAGCCATTTTCTGGTGCTCTCCTATGCATCCTTCAAGACCCATCCCGGAAGACCCCTCGTAGGAGGAGCCCCTTAGCTTCTACACCTTGCTCTCCCCTTCAGGCCATGCCAACAGCACCAGGCTGGTATTTATAACTAGGCCTCCCCCATCAGACAATGAGCCCTTGCAGGACTCCATCACCCCCATTTCCTCCCACTGCACCCACCCCAGGGTGCCATTCTATTGAGTGAATAAATGACGCCTGGGTCTCCTCAGCCCCGAGAAAGGGCCCTGAGAAAATGGCGAGTGGAGGAGGGGACTAGGCAGAGAGCCTGGGGTGGGGGCAGGAAGAACTAGAGAGAGAAAGCAGGTCTGGGGACAAGGAAAAGAGGAAGCGGAGGCAGGGGGAGACCGGGGCGGGAGAGGAAGTGGGCCAGTTCTTCTTTGCTTGGGAACTTTTGCCCTTGTGTGGTTTCAGATCTGTCCCTCGGGTGGGCCACCCAGCCACAGCAGCCTTGGCCCAGCTCAGCCAACAGGAGCCCCCTGCCCTAATTCCTCCAGGCAAGGGGACTTTAACAGTCCTCACTAAAGGCCTACTCCCTGGCTCTCCTCCACAAAGCACCCTGCCACCTTGCTCTGGGGACTCAGGTCCCTACGCTACCTGGCCAGGGGGTGGGGGTGGGGTGTCCAGTCTCTATTTTGCAGAGCAAAAAACTGAAGAGGAAGGAGAAGTCCCGGCTAGAGTGGAGTGGGCTCCTCGAGGGCAGGACCCCTGCACACACTAGGTGCAGGGGGGAGGTAGAGAATGGAATGAATGAGGGAGGGAGAGATGGAACATTCCAGAAAACACATCCCCTTTTGACAGAACTGATAAAGTACCTGCCTAGGGCCAGTGTGAAGAAGGCTAGGCTCAGAGCCCCTGAGGCGGGAGGCCAAGCCTCCCTTTCCCAGGCTAAAATGTTCCCTGGAATGTCCTCCCAGACAAGGTCCGAAGGCTGCTTCAAAGTCTGAATTCCTAGCCCCACCTCCTCTGTTAGCACAGAGAACAGCTGCCAGCCCTGGGCCACACAAGCTGGCTCTCCTGGCCTCCTCCCCTGTTCTTGGGATGTTCTTGGTTCAATCTGAGTTTCTGAACCTCAGGACTCTTGGGGCTGGGGAGAGTGCATGAGATTCCTCTGTCTCCTGTCCAGCTTCTCGGTCTTCAGGGCCAGCTTCAAGCTGCCCTCTCCAGGAAGTCTGCCATGATTTCCTCCCTTCTTTACCACAACAGCAGTAGCTTTCTAGCCCAGAGAAAGCTAGTGACTCAGTCAGGATCACCCAGCAAGGGCACCACCAGGAGCTGAACCTGAATCTTCTGGAACAGCTCCTGGATCATGCAACACCTGCATCCAACATACCAGCAACAATCAGCCAAGTTCACCAGGCGCAATAGAAATATTCCTTTTTTTTTTTTCTGGTCCCAGGGTTACTTCACCACTGAGCCACATCCCCAGCCCTTTTTATTTGTTTTATTTTGAGACAGGGTGTCACAAAGTTGCTTAGGGCCTCACTAAATTCCTGAAACTTGTGATCCTCCTGCCTCAGCCTCTGGAATCACTAGGATTACAGGCATGTGCCCAGCTGGAGGGAACACTGTTAAAGGACAGTCAGGGATGGCTCCTCTGAAGAGCTAAGCACCCCACTGAGCAGAGCCTTGGTCCCTCATGTGTCCAGCCTCCAGACCTAGCCTCTCCCGGGGCGCCCAGCAGTTAGCCACTCTGTGCCTTCTCCACTCTCTGACAACTACTTGGGGGATCCCTGCCCTGGAGGAACGTGCAACTTCTGATTCTTCTTGGGAGAGTTTTTAAAAATCCTTAAAAACTACCTTCTGCCGACAGTCCCCCAGGGCACCAGGAGAAACTGCCTGGGAAGTTCCAGATGGCTTATTCAACTGAATTATTCAGAAACAGAAAATAGGCGTCCCTGGGCTTCCCCTGTGACGCCCAGCGGAACCCTCTCTGTTGACCCCATGGAGCCAGTTGCTGGCAGGCCTCACTCGCTCCCTCCCCCAGATGGCAACTGTGTCAACGCAGAGAGTCACAGGACTGAGTTGGAGCAGCTCTCTGGGACCTGCAGACCCTCCCAGAGCAGCCTGAGGAATATAGGGAGGCTGGGGGAAGGGGTGTGCCCCTTATCACCTGGGCCCACAAATAACAGCCCGCGGTAGGTGGGGGTACCTGCCCAAGGTCACCTTGAGCAACCCTGAGGACCCTAGACTTTTCTGATTGTCCAGACAGGAACCTGAGCAGCCAGGCGACAGGTGGACGAAGCTGGGGTCAGCAGTTAACTTCAAGTTCAGGCCAAGGAGGGTTCAAGCAGACACAGGGGAGTCAGGGAGCCCCCCAGAGAGGAAGCCAAGCACTGTGTCCCAGGCTGTGGCTCCACCACCCAGGACGTGTTAAAGGGGCAGGGGGACACCCAGCTCTTAGCCCACCAGGAACCAACCAGGTAGGAGCCGAAGTTCAGGCCAGGGGTGGGCAGGGACTGGGTGGTGTGGTCAGTGTAAGATGATCACCCTCTTCTTGGCTTCCAGGGGCTTCTCCCACCTTCTGTCCAGGCCCCATGGCTCAGAAGTGCCCCCAGGAGGTGGAGGGAGGAGAGGGGAGGGGATGCCCACACTGGAGGAAGTGGTCCAGGGCAGGGGAAGGGAGGTGCTGGGAAGGTGTGGGTGGGCGGGGCAGCTGCTGACTCACTGGCTCAGGGCCTGGGGCTCCCCTCAGGAGAGAAGGCAGGGCCCTAAGGGCCTACTGTGTGCTGGACCCAGGCCAGAGCCTGGCCTGCTGCCACACACACAGAGAGCTGGCCACACCCGTATCTGGTAATTGGGGAATCTCCCTATTTCTCAGATAAGCCAACCGAGGGTAGTGAAAGTAGGAGGGCCACCCCACTGCCGTTGACAACATGGTCTGGCTATATCCAGAATGTACCGGAACCCAGGTGCCCAGCCTGACTTGCAGCCAAGGCCTAGGCCCTCTTGAAGAGACTCTCTGAATCCTTCTGTCTTTGTGAGCCACTTTGTTTTAGT